CTAAACAGATTTCAATTTATAAAAGTCTTGTATTTGAGTATGGCTTGATATAACAAATATTTATTTTAACTACATTGGAAAGAGATAAAGAATATGAGATTTCGGCTTTTTAGAATCCTTAATAAACCATATTTAGGTAGGTTTCGTTAATACAATTAAATATTTAGCCGATAATTGATAATAAACAAATTAATTTAGTACCACATCAAACACTAAAAATCAAAATAACTCGGAAACGCACAGGAATTTCGAAACAGAAGAAGGGACATTATTTTTGTTAAACTGTATGTAGATAATGAAAATAACATTTTTTTTAAAATAGTCATTGGCGTAGAAGTTCTGTTTAAGAAAGGGGTTGAGCACCCCCTCCACTCCGCCACTGTGCGAGTTTTTGAACATTCTTATCGCTTATTTTATGCCCCTTAATTAAGGCATTATACCCCAAACATGAAAAAAATCTAAGCATTCGTTTATGTTATAATGAAAATTCGAGAGAAAAAAATTATATTCAACATCCTGTATCTCGGAAACGAAGCCTTCTACGACATATGTTTATAGGAACTTGTCTTTTTTAAAAGCATGTGTTCTATCTCCTGTTAAAGTTTGTCTACAAAAAACTGACTCACCCTGTATGTAGAAAGTAATTGTTTAAGTTAATGTTAAAACACATTAAATAGTGCTTAACTCACTAGTTTTTTAAGTTTTTTAAATAATTAAATCAAATATTTAATAACATAAATATTGAAACTACCTGTAGTTAAGTATAACTAGAAGGTGAAACATCAATTAATTTTACCATAAAAAAACGTCCAAATGTTCTACATAATCTTGAATAATTTGAAACGATACATTATAGACAAAAATAACAAGAACAGTATTATTTTCTTATTGAAATATATAATTCAAAAATATTATTTGATTTGCAAAATATTCAGTGGGTTAGATTTTCAATTAAAATTTATGTGCCAGTACTCCCGTATCTCCGCCACTGGTTTATGTAACTTGTCATAGTGGCCTCCGAATTATAGAGGATACGTAGGTACTATACACAGTGTACCAAATTTAAAACATTTTTAAACAGTCATTTAGAATTAAATGAAATTACATAATTTTTTTTTTAAATTCCAATAGGTACTCTGTATCTCAGAAATGAAGCATTTTCGGATACATGTTCTAGGAACTTTTTTTCTTATTTTGATCAGCACTATATATTGTCAATATGTTGTTTTTACTATTTTTTTCAACACCTTGTATAACGTAACAGATTTTAAAATTTCTAGTTTTAAATTATATCGATATATTCCTATTTTAGCATACCAATATATCATCCATTTTAATTATAACTTACCTTAGTTGTAAATCACAAACACTAATCACAAGAACAATAATTATACATAAATCAGCGCAACACTTGTACCTACATGTGACGGTAAAGTTACATATCGCTAATGGCTGCGCGCAGCTGTTATGTTGCGTATATGATTCACGTAATACTCGACTATTACTCCGAATTACTCAACTATTACTCCGAATTACTCGGGTATTACTCAGAATTACTCAATTATTACTCAGTATTACTCGTTATTACTCATAATTACTCAAGCTTGTACACCAAATTACTCCTGCGGTTTCCTCCTCAATAATTCCTAAGTACTTCATATTTTTTTTGTTCAAAACAAGTGGTAAAAACCTCGGTAAAAAAATTAGGAGGCGGTAGTGTTTATGAAAGGGTCCTGCTTTGAATTACATATATTATGTAATTTGCTTCAATTAGACAAGCACCCCTTATAATTTTCAACTTTCTACATGTTTACTTCAAATTACATATTTTTATTACTTAGAAATTGAAATCAAATTGGCTATCACTACGTATTTCCCTCAATATTTTTCATTTATATAACTCAAATGTATATGTATATGTACTTCATAGGACCTTGTGAATGTTCTTACTGACGTATTGATTATTTAATTTAATTAACTATACAGGGTGTTAAAAAAAGAGTGTAAAATATTTAAGGAGGTAATGGTATGAACCAAAATAAGCAGANATAGGTTTCTGTCTAGGTTTCTGTGGCATCCTTTGGAAATTGAGGTAGGGGGGGGGGGCGTTGTATAACGACTACATCGACGAAATTCATTAGCTGATTACATAGATTACAACAAGGATTACAGATAAGATTACATAGATTACAGATAAGATTACATAGATTACAGATAAGATTACGTAGATTCCAGATAGATTATATAGATTACAGATAAGATTACGTAGATTACAGATAAAATTTCATAGATTTCAATTTCAAAGAGATTCTTAGATGATTACAAAATTTCAAAAAGATAATTGTTAAGACGTCATAATTACACTGAGATTGCAAAGATTTCAGAAACGATTACATAAAGATTCCAGGGCAAACGTACGAAGATTACATCAGCGGATCGCCCCTCGCAGGAGATAGAACACATGTTTTTAAAAAGAAAAGTTTCTATAAACATATGTCGTATAGAAGGCTTCGTTTCCGAGATACGGGTGTTGAATATAATTTTGTTTTCTCGAATTTTCATTATAACTTACAAACGAATGCTTAGATTTTTTTCATGTTTGGGAGATAATGCCTATTAATTAAGGGGCATAAAACAACCGATAAGAATGTTCAAAAACTTGCACAGTGGCCGAGTGGAGAGGGGGCTCAACCCCTTTCTTAAACAGAACTTCTACGCCAATGACTATTTTTTAAAAAACTGTTATTTTCATTATCTACATACAGTTTAACAAAAATAATGTCCATTCTTCTGTCTCGAAATTCCTTTGCGTTTCCGAGTTATTTTGATTTTTAGTGTTTGTTGTGGTACTAAATTAAGTACATAATTTATTATCAATTATCGGTTAAATATTTAATTGTTTCAACGAAACCTACATAAATATGGTTTGTCAGGATTCTATAAAGCCGAATTCTCTTATTCTTTATCTCTTTCCAATGTAGTCAAAATAAATATTTGTTATATCAAGCTATACTCAAATCCAAGACTTTTGTAAGTTGAAATCTGTTACATTACATACATACAATATATTATTGTGCAGTTGCCAAAAAGTTTTAAGAAGTTGTTAATTAAATATTGTTATAAATTCAAAACAAATTCTCTATAAACATTAACATCAATGTTCATTCAATGTTTTTTTTGTAATTTAGTTGCAGTACATTATTATTTACGAAGCACATAATAAATAAGGATTGTTAAAATTGGTGTACTAAACAGATTTCAACTTATAAAAGTCTTGTATTTGAGTATGGCTTGATATAACAAATATTTATTTTGATTACATTGGAAAGAGATAAAGAATAAGATATTTCGGCTGTTTAGAATCCTTAACAAACCATATTTAGATAGATTTCGTTGAAAGAATTAAATATTTAGCCGATAATTGATTATAAATAAATTAATTTAGTACCACATCAAACACTAAAAGTCAAAATAACTTGGAAACGCACAGGAATTTCGAAACAGAAGGAGGGACATTATTTTTGTTAAACTGTATGTAGATAATGAAAATAACAGTTTTTTTAAAAAATAGTCATTGGCGTAGAAGTTCTGTTTAAGAAAG